ATTCCTGTGTTTTTTGTTGTGGTGGAAATTTCAGACTGGGGAGGGGATGGACGTGTTGTAAACCACCAACAGCTGAAGAGGGGGCACACAGCTAGCAGAAAGCAAGTGAGAAGAAAAGTGTCCCTGGAAAGTAAGAAGACAATGAGCAGAGGAGCAAGGGGGGCTTTGTGGGGCACAGCACAGAGGCAGGAAGGGGGGCAGTGCTCAGCAAGGAGGCCAGGTGGGAGCAGGGACAATGCCAGAAAGGAGCAGCATGAGAGTGCGCTCTTTGAAGAGGAAAAAAGAGCTGGATTCATCACCAAAAATGAATATCAATGAAGCAATTAGCTTTGCGAGCAACAGGATAAATGAATGCTGCTTTCCTAGAGGTGCCCGGCATGTGGTTGGATCCACTGCTGTACAGGAAACGTTGAGCTCATGCTTTTCCTGTTGCAATGGCACTAACATGGGCTCTCTGTCCTCTATCACCAGCTGTTTTCTCAAATCTTTTAGGAGATTTATATTTCTGATTAAATTGCCCAAAGGTTCAAAAGTTACTGCGACAGCAGGAAAGAAACATGTGACCACACACAAGTCCCTTTCCTTACACTCTTAAGCTGCAAGCATGTATGTATGCTCTAAGGAATACTTGCCAACACAGCACAATCTTAAGGGGCTACAGGTGGTTGAGGAGAACCACAACTGCAAATACCTCCATTTTCCATGATGTGACACAGAGTCACCAGAGCCACCCAGGGCAGGACAGGACAGGGCAGAGCCCCCTCAGCCTCCCCAGTCCTCCTGTGCTCACCACCACTCACCTCTGCACTTTGTGCTCTGAGAAGCATGTTGGCTTCTTTCCCTACAGATGTTGAAAAATAGAAGCAGTGGCTGTCTCTTCCAAGCACTCTAACACACCCAGACTAAAAGTGCCCAGGGAAAGCAGCAAAAGTGCCCACCTCCTCTCAGCTCTGTCCCACAGCATGGCCACCAATTCCATGCATGCCAGGCCCTGGGTGGCCATCACCCAGCTGAGACCTGCTCAGCGCTGATGCCAAACAGGTGAGCAGCAAGCAGCCCCATCTGCTAAACAAATGGAAGGTGAATTGACTGGAGTTCCAGCCAAGTACTGAAACATAGCTGTGAATCTGAAAGCCTTGTTCCAGAGAAACAACGTCCCACTTTTAAAATAAGTCCAAAAAAGCCCATCCTGCTTCCATTGAAGTCAGTGGCAAAATTCCCACTGGTTTAACCAGGAACAGGATCGGGCCACTTCCAGACAGATTTACAGCCAACATATGCTGTAACGCTTGCATTCTGCAGGCACTTATTTCTATTTCCAGCCATGTTTTAAAAAATTATAGCAAATGCCTATGGATTTGTGCGTATGAGTTATTGTGCTGCTAATGAGAGGAAGAATTACCCGAACATGGTTTAGATGGTCATCTGTTGCCAGCACAGATGAAATTGCTGGGTCATTCACTGGCTGCGTATCACTGTTCATCCCATTAGCATTTCCATTAGAATTATTGCAAAATGTAACTCAATTTCTCTCTCTCTGTCTTTTTTTTTTTTTTTTTTTGGCGTATGTGGGGAGAGACCTGGCCTGTTTTTGCAATTAGAATTGCTAAGGATTGCAAACGAAGTCCTGCTCACACTTCTGCACCCTCTGCAGGCACTGAGGGGGATGCTCCTCTGACAGGGCTACTGTTCCTGAACTGGGGAGCAGAGGGCTCTCCAAAAGGAAACACAGTGAAATGACTTCTTGCAGCTGAAAGTCTCTTGGACATACTGTGTGTATGCCCATGCACTAGAAAGCTTTGGCTAATTCATTTCCCCAAGCTCCTTGCTTTGGGCAGCTGAGTCCATCCTTCTTTAAAGCCAAGTAGTTTGCAGTCTACAGCCCACAAAGTTCTTGTTTTTCAGAATTGCTGCGGAGCCCCAGCAATGACAGGGTTCTCCAGAAGCTGCTGTCTGCCAGGCCCTTCAGTAACCAGGCCCCACTTTCTCTGCAGCTATTGTTACACAAAAAAGAAGAAAATCATCTCATGGCTGAAGACTCCCTCCCCTAACTCCTCCCACCCAGAAAAAAGAAAAAAAATCATCCATTGTTTTCCTGTAATTGATCAAGCATAAACATTCAGCTCTACAGTTTTACGACTAATCACTCTACTCCTAAGACACGTGCTTGCAGCTATGCAAGGCACCAGCTGCTGTCATTCCAATGGATATTAATTTATATTGTCTCCTGCTCCCGTCCTCCCTGCACCGACGCACAAAGGGAGCGGGGTGGCAGCGGGCGCTTTATATGAAGACATCTGCTTGAAAGGCAGACAGTGGCTGCGCTGCCGAGATTGCACCTGGACTTTCACTGAAAAATCAGGCACACCAGTTGCTTCCTGGCAGCCCAGGCTTTGTTCCACACGGGCGTTTTTGACTGCCGCTATTTATTTATTTGCCTCACTGAAAGGGAAATGAAATGTCAGGACATAGGGAGGGAGGCAGGTTTCAGGGCAGAGCAAAACTGGCTGAAATAAAATAACAGCCAGCCGATGCGGGAAGTCGGGTGAGGAGGAGGAAGAGGAAAGCTGTCACCTCTGATTTTAACTCCAAAAAGGTTCTCTTGGGGAGAGGCGTGTGGCTGGCAATGCCCAGCTCCTGTCCAGTGCTTGGGTCTGGGATGAACCAAGCCACTGCAGCCTTGGGAAGTGCAGGGGGTGAAGATGACCTGTTGTGAGATCCCACAAACAAAAAGTACAAGCCCAATGGCCCAAGCCTATGACTCACACTGAGCTTTGCACAATGGGAGCACACAAAGTATACCTGCCCCAGCTTTCCTCCCTCTAATCCCAGGCCAGCTCCCAGTAACCAAGCTTAAAAGCACCTGAATTTGTGAGCTCTCTCCATCCGTGTGCGACATGCACAGCCCTGAGCACAGTGGGCACACGAGGGGCTCTCAGCCCACCATGCCATGTGCCACAGACCTCTGGGACTGCCGCATGCCCTTTATCTGCCAGCCGGCACCCACAGCGGAATCCTGTGCATGGGGACATGGAGGGATGAAGGCACTCTGCTAACACAGTTTGCTCTGCTAAAGCATTCACACACCATCTCCCAGATACAACAACACTGAGGGCTCGACTATAGAGATATGAAAGATTTCTTTCTCCTAAGAGCAGGGCTGTTTCCCAATCCCTCTGCATTCGCTAATCAAATACCAATGTGACTGGGGTCACGTTACATTATGGCTGTCAGCTCTAAGCGCATACTGTATTTTTCATGACGTCCTGGTCTGTTGTGTTGTGCTGCTGTTTCACCCCCAGAGGCAGCGCAAGAAGGCTTTTCCTTTTTCCTTTCTTGTCTGCCTTGTGGTTTTGCCTAGAACCCCATTTCAAGCTTGGTCTGCGCTGCCACATCCTATACAAATGACTAGTGGATGGCTTACTAAGCAAAGAAGCTGGTTAAGCAGTTGCTCTGTGGGATTTTATTGCTCCAGTAAAGAACCGAGAGATGGTAATAGGCAGTTCAGATGTGAGGTGCTGTTCGCCCATGTTCTCTGCAGCAATTTTCCAAAATAAAGAACCAAGCTCTAACAGGGGATGTATTTCACGCTTTTTAAGACCAAGATGGACACACAGGTTTGGAATTCTTTTTTATAACGTCTGAGCTAGCAGGGTTCCTGAGACAAATCTAAAAATCCTTTCTTGTTATTACATTACATGCCTGAATTCCCACTGCTGTATACCACATGAAGTCACTTACCCTCTGTGAATGGGTATAAAATACTGCTTCTGGTGGAGAACTCATATCTAGGCATGTTTTATTGTGCTTTTTGCCCAAGGTAAATGAGAATGTGGGCGCAGGATGGGGAAGAAATCTTTCTTCCCTGCTTTTTTCATTAGCTTAAGCTGAACCTATTGATTCTGTTGGTAACTGCCTCAGAGCCTGTAGATATGGAAAGGCGACACAAACATCTCTTTCTGCACCTCAAAATTCTTTCCATTCTCCGAGCTCATGGTTTCTACTCCTCCACTCTCCCCACAGGTCTCCACAGAGCTCTGCCTCCCTGGGGATGCACGTATCACAAGGCACCAACCACGTGAAATATTAGCGCTCCCTCTACCCATACACCCTTCAATGAGCCCAGATATTTTGGGATGGAAATGTTATCTTTAGCATCTCTGTCCCTCTGCAGCAGCCACACGAGGAAGAAGTTAAGGAAGGAGCACTGACCGTTGTGCCATTAGGCAGTTTTGACTGACTGGTCTCACTGTAATATATGACTTCTCACAAATGACGTCAGGAAGTAATAGATTTTAACAGACGCTCACCACCCCCTTCTTTTCTATAAACAGAGCCAACATCTAGAAGGGGCAGGCTGCAGATGGTATTGTTTGTCTCTTAGCGACATGCGTATCCCAGGTTGAATTTTCATGGGGAATTGCACCCAGGCCACTGGTAAGGCAATACCCCTGAAGCAGTGTCTGTTTAAAGGGCTGCTTTCTAGCTGCACTCTTATGGTCTCAAGGCAGATCAGGGAAGAGTCCTGGCTTACAGTCTCATGTTCCCCAAAACTCTTCCTGTGGATTTCCCAGTCCACTATTCATACTATCTCTCAAGGTTGTCCAGATTCCTAGGAGCTCTGAGCCAGATGATACTGGGTTGATTTACTGAGGGTGAGATGACAAGCACATGGTGGCAAATCTTTCCCTACGGCCTTGGCTACACGGGCAGCGTGGAAATAGCTTGGGGAGCAAGAGGCTATGAAGCATGCGAAGCACGAACTTGCACTGCTCCAGTCCATTTTATAGCATGGCAACACTGAAATCCTCAGAGCACACATGCATTGAAGGGAGATTTTTTTTCCTATTAGATAAACTCTTAAATGTCACTTGGGATCAAAACCTCAGGTCTTGTCTACACAGATCTGTATGCGGCACCTATGCAATACAACTGTGTGGAGACCTACATTTGAATAAAATGGATTTTTTCTCACTTTAAAAAAAAAACAACAAACTTACTCTGCTCTTTGGAGTGCCAGTGCCTTTTGCCTGCAGCACAAGCTCCTTTCCATGCAGATGAGTAGTGTTCCTCTCTCTTGCAAGGGTTAACTGTGTTGTGTTTGTAAAGATCTTGGACAGCTCCAGACTCCTTAAGTGCCAAGTCCTCTCCTTCTTGCTCTCACTTCCAAGTATTATGATTCTGTGGGCCAAACACAAGTTACTTTTATATGCACTGTAGCTTAGTCCAAGGGAGAGTAGGGGGCAGCTCTTGTTGCAGGAGGAAAGGGCGATGGCTCAATCGCACCAGAGACAGGAAAAACCCCAAGTGCCTGTGACCACAATCAGACTGTGCATGTGCTCAGGATGTGAAACAGGACAATGATCCTCTTTGTCCTGCCATCTCTACACTTCATCTCCATGTCTAAGCCATGGCAAGAGGGGTGACAAGGGGACACGAGCAGCTTATCAAAAGAGATCAGGATGTAGAAATGGCAGGAGAGGGTGAAGGTCTGTGGAGAATGGAGTGGAGGGCCAGGAGGGTCCCCAAACGATGCTACAGCAGGAGCCTCCTTGTCCTGCTTGGTTTTCAGCCATATTAGCTGCTGGCATGCTTGACCCCAGCTGTTCAAAGCCTCCATAGGACACTGTGCTCACCCTCCTGCCCTGTCACAGTGGCCGCTTCCCATTCAGCAGGGCATGAGTTATTTCTCTTTTGTGCATGAGGCCCTCCTCGAGGGGACCACATCTTCCCTGCAACCAAATAATCAGATGCATTTATTGTTGTGGAAATTATGCTCCCCCCAAAGTATCTGACCAGTAACAGCTTCCTGGCTTTGTCTGCAGCTCGGCAGCCTCAATCACACTCTGGAGCAGCCAGGGGGACTGTGTGTGTTGTGCCTGCACAGGGCTGACAGGAGTGACAATGCCGAGTGTCCTTCTGATCTGTCCCCAGTCTGGTGGGGCTGGTACTGAGCAGCAGGTCAAGACCCTGACCCTTCTGCCACAACTCACCAGGAGGAGCCTGAGGCCACTCGCTGGACCTGCCCCAGCCTTACACAGGAACCCAAGCAAGCCCTGCCCACCCAGGGTGTCCTGACAGATAGGTTACTGGGCAGATGAATACTGGGGATACATAAATCACCAAAGCATTCCCCAGAGCGGAGGGGCCTGAGCTGCTGGGAGGGCTCAGGATGCAGGCCCTGCTCAAGAGGCTGATGGCACAGGATGTTGCTGCTCTGGGAATGCAGGGACAAGCACAGGTGCCCAGGCAGGGCTGTGCTTAGCTCTCTGTGACATGGAAACTGGTGGGTGCATTGTTGACTCTCTGCACCTAAAACACAAATCCAGCTGGACTCAGCCTTGTTGAAGTTGGTGAGAGAACAACAGACTCTTGTTCAGCAGAAGCACCAAAGAAGACAAACGTAACCGAACAAAGATGCGCTGCTCAAAACATGGTGTGCAATGCTGCCTGTCTTGCGCCAAGAGCCTCCTTTGTTCTCCAGTGGATACAAGGCTGGGAGAATCCTGGAGCTCGGCTGGCAAACTGCCTCCTCTTGTGCCTCAAGGACCCAGGGAGTCTTGCCCACATGTCCCTGCTGCCAGCCAAGCCTGGGGCTGATGAAATATATGCTGTGAGGTGACTGGAATCACTGCTGGCAGTCCTTAGCCAGACTGCCAGGAGAGCAAAACTGCCCTAAAAATACCTAAAGCCCCACAAGGATAGTGACAGTGAGCACCCTGGCAGTTCTTGGGGACTTGCTGCCATGTGTATTCCTCACACGGAGGCCTTTGGGCAGCACCTTACCCATGTGAAGCCTGGAGCTCCACCATGGCTGCGCCTCCGAGCAATGGCCTCAGCCACCGACGTCACAGCCATTCAGTTGCCTTGGCAGCAGCCATGCAACTACTGATGGACCAATGTCTTCACTGACAGAAACAGCCTTACCCAGGAACCAGCTTGAGCTGAGGAAGCCCATGGAGGAGGGAAACTCAGTGAGTCCTGCACAGACAGGTCCACAACTGCCCTGTCTTTCCTGGTACTCCATGTCCACAGGCCACTGAGGTGATCTCTGTGCTACATCCATCTGCAAGGGGGGAGGGGTCCCAGAGCCCCTTGGAGTCTCTGCTCATCCCAAGGAGGGACAAGCCACAGCCCAACTTTAGCCTTGTGATTTCTCCTCTTTTAATGCTGAACACAAAAGAAAATCCACACACAAGAGCCTCAGGAATTCAAATTTAGAGAACTCTGCCTCTGCTCACAGGAAACTTGGCCAGAAGTTATCTTGCAGAGGAATGTAACCAATGCAGAAGATGGTGCTTGGCTTTTCAAATCCAAGCCCCTAAATACATTGTGCTTTGGCTGTCATTTAGTGTTCTTGCTTTGCTTTTCCATTTCTGTTTTGTAGCAACGGCAGCCTAACCACTCTCCAATCCATCCTGACCCCACCCCCCCAGCCTTGTTCCCATCACTTTTCTATCCACTCTCGTGCCATTAAAACAATTTGGGGGACAGAGCTGGGAAACAGTCCACGTTAAAAACAGCACAGTGAAGAAAAATGACTTTTTTTTTTAAACCCAAGTAGCACTCAGTTACCTTTGTCCTCTTCCAGCAATAAAAACCATTACAACTGGGAAGGAGAGAAGGCCTGGAGGATGGGGTAGGCCCAAGAGCTAGGAGGGCGGGATGGGACAGGGCAGAACTTGGCAGCACAGCAAGGTTAAATGAACATTGGACTCAGACCTCATCAACCTCTCCTTATACATAAAGAAAATGACAGGCCTGGAGGGCTTGCTTCCATGTAAAGGATGAAGAGGGAAGAAAGAAGAGACACTCTCCACTATAAAAAGGATGCGTGCAAGTTCATCCAAATGGACTCGGAAATACCCTTCCTGCACTTAACACTGTGGTTGTGACTGATCTGGCCATGTCTGAATGCAGAGCTGGCACCTGGACATGCCAAGAGCACCTACGACTTCCTCTGCTTCCTGAAGTAACCAACAGGCTGTCAGGCTGCCTAACATCACCCCAGAGCAGCCTCAGCTATTTGCTCTAAGTTCTGCTCTGGTTTCAACCTTTCCCATCCCGGCCAGGCCACTGATTGCACTGCCACCATGCCATGGTCCTGCTGCTGGCTCCGCAGCGCTCACCTGCTGCAGCAACTGTGGCAAACCCTCCCACAGCGAGGCAGGCAGTTCCCTGCAAACTCAGCTCACCTCTGTAAATTGCCACTTACAGAGCTGCAGGCATTGGTCCGGTGTGCAGCACATGGGAACGCTGCTGTCTGAACACCTCCTCTCTCACAGCTCAGTCTGTACATCCATCCACCAAGAGGTCACAATTTACAACAGATTTTTTCATGCGCGTATATTGCTGTTACTGCTGACTCCTCTTTCCTTTGGAGAGGGAGAATGGCTACAAATATATTGGAAGAGGTAACTGGATTTTAGGTCAAAAATAGCAATACCTAAGTTTATATATATATATATATATATAGACATACCTAGCAGGAAGGAGAATGGAAGGACGAAGGAGGGCTGCTTCTCTTATTTACTTCTAATCTGTTTTCTTCATATTTGCTCTACTTTTCATTCTCTTTTCATTCCTAGAAAAATTATGGCAGATGAAGCCTCTTAAAACTGTAGCTTGCTGGTGTGAAAATCTAGGCTGCAATTTAGAGTAGCTATATATATATATATATATATATTTGCTTTTTTTGTACTCTGGATTGAAGAAGGTGATGTATGAAAACTCAGATTTAACAGCCTAGAGATTAAATCTTGTTGCGTAGGTAAGGTTTTGGCAGAAAGGCAGACAGTGATTCCTAACCAGTACCAAAAATTCAGAGAGGAAGGGGGTTGGTTTTAATATAAGTTTGCTTTTCTTGTAATGAATTTTAATGACAGCTTTCACGTCTGCCTTCTGTGATTCATAAGAGAAAATTAAAAACCCACACCTTGAAAATTACACGACAATGCTGCTGACATCTTGCAGTTGCTGGCATTATCTTGAAGAACCTTTCAGTCCTGTTTCTATGCCACATTGTTTTCCTCACAAAACATATTTTAAACATAAAACATTGAGTGTTCATTTCTTCTTTATATCATTTTTATTCATTACCTGCTAGAGGCAAAGGGCATGGTTTTATATAGAATCCCCATTGAATATCTTATTTTGCAATTTTACTCTACTGTACATATTTCCCAATAAATTATTTTCTTTCAGATGCAGATATTCTTCTGGAAAAGCAAAGCAGGGCTGCTTCCTCTGCTTCCGAGTTGCTTTTGCTGTAACCAGCTTGGGTTAGTTTGTCAGGTATGTTTTGGGAATGCCTGGAGAATTAATTCTGTTTTAAAGACTACAATCGTAATTTTGGCACCTGAATTTTGTGCCAGGTCAGCAACAGAACAGCTTTTGAACACATCAAAGGCTTGTTCTAGACAAACAAATGACTGTGGATATAAAACTCATCTTTCCTGCAATCTATAGCCACAAAGCAGCTGATTCAGAGGTGACCACAACTTGTCCACATCTGGAATGGCGGCTCAGCCCCAGCCCACACCATGTGAGAACGCCTGCTCCATGCTGCTTGCTTTGACTCCGTATCGCTTTTGGGTGCCAGGAAAACTCTTGGTGTTGGTTACCTATGCTCATAGATGGCTCAAGGCTTCTCAGCACTGAAGGCCAAAGTTGTGTTTGAAGGTCAATGTGGTGTTGGGGACTTGTGGTTCAGGGTGGGTCTGTGAGGAGAGGGAGAGCTGGGAAGGAAGGGGATTTGGTGGTGGCAGTGGTACTCAGGGAAGTGAAGAGAGGCAGGTGGGCAGAAGGCTGGGAGATTTGGGTAGCAGGGGCTCTCTTCCTCTCCCCATACTAGTTGATGCGTTTCCTCAATTCCTTCTTGCCCTTCTGTTTTGTGACACCTATCCACTAAGCCCACTGAGTCAGGAGTCACTTCCTTTGTGCTGCAAACAGCTCCTGACTCAGTGGGCTTAGTGGGTGTCACAAGCCTCTCATGCGAAGTGGAAATGGGGGCAGTGGTCAGCATACTGGAGAGTTGTTTTCCTTGCTGACACTAAACTTCACATGTTGGAGATAATCCCTTCTCCTCCCTGTCACTTACTTCCTGCTCAGGTCTGACCCTCTACCCTGCTCCCCATTCCACCCCATTCTAATTATTCATCCCTTTCCCTTTTTGCCAGCTGTGTTGCCATCATGTACTGCTCTCCCTTGCTGCCCTTTGCCACCAATTGCCAGAGCACTTTTGAAACTCTGATCACCGAGTTCTCACCTTTTAATATACTCTTAGTTTGCCTTTTCCTACTGTGTATAACTTGAGTAGAAGGAGAAATTCAGGCACTAGTATTTTACCTGCCCAGTTTTTAGCAATGAATGCAAATTATGACTCAATAACTTTAAAAATTGGTGCCTACATGAATTACAATTTAGTATGGACTAAAATTTACTCAGAGTTGCCTATGAACTGTGGCTTGGCCATAAATGCCAAAGTCTGCATTCAAAATGTTTTGGAGCATACTGCAATTTCTGTAAACCTGTACTTTTCTATCCTTCCACTTTGTTCTTTACTCTTTCATTTTCTTTGCAGCAAAATTTTCTTCTCAGAAAGACTAGTTCTTCTTTCTCTGTGTTCCAGTGACTTTTCACTTAAATACCTACTATTTTGAAAATGACATCACCTAACATAAATATAACACTCTTGCCTGAATCTCAGTATGCTCTGCAAACCATAGATCTGATTCTACAGATTTATGCTCGTGCATAATCTGGAGCATGAAAAGTTGTGTCATCAGCTTTGGCAAAACGGCCCACGTACCTCAAGTTAAGTACCTGTTTAAAACTTTCAAGGAGTCCTAAATTTCTGGGCAGATAGCGCTGCAGCCGTCTCGCTGAAATACAGCCTCAGCCAGCAGGACCTGCACGGCCACAGGACAGCTCGGTGCTTACCAAAGGCAACAGCCTGATGGTGAGATGAAACTGCCTGGGGAGCTCTAGCAATGAGCGTGCAGCTGCCTAAGCTGAAATTCGCTGAGTTGGCAAGGGACTTCTCTCTCGTTCCTCCTTTCAGTCAGGGCTATGAAATCAGGACTCCGTTGCTACAACTGAAGACAATGCAGATTTGATAAGGAACCAGGTAGCTTAGTGATTGTATTTTCTATAATACAGCACATGGCTGTTGGTGCTTTGTTCTGTGGAAATCACCTTACCAGTTCTGATCCGACCTGACCACGCACCATCTTCTACCGTCATATCACATCCAGAGGTGACGATGACTTTGTAGATGCACATAAGAGACAGACTCGACATGTAAATCCATAGTCATACGTAGTCTTAAAGCCTTTATTTTAATGCAAAATAAAACAGGTAAAATTTATATAGCCATATGTACCAAAAGATCAAATCTTTGATATGGTACTAGAAAGAAAACTTCAGGAATTGTGTATTGAATTTCTCCCCCAAAACAAACACGTGTGATTTTGAAATTAATTTAACTAAAACTCATGGGTATTGTCAGGATCATAAACACTTCCCTCTCCTCCTGAATAGCACAGAAGTGTCTTAAAAAGTGTTTTCTTTGATGCAGACAGTAAAGAGTGCTTCCGACTTTGCACTTTGTAAGGCTTAGGGACTCTGCAGAACTCTGTGAGGGCAAGCACAGGCATATGGCCTTTTGGAGGTGCAAAGCAGCCCCTGCCCAGCACAGAGTGCCAGGATGTGGCCCCGGCGGAGCACTCAGTGGGATGCACTCCCAGCACTGACTCTGATAAACAAATCTGCGATGGCTGGGAGGAGGAGGTAGCACAATTCATCTGTAAAAAAAAAAAATAAAAATTAGGCAGCGTGTGAAACTAGTTCAAGAAGCTGGAGCGAATTGGAATGCAGGCTGCACGCAATTCTTCAAAGCAGGAGCCTTTAAAAAAATTATTATTGACATGCTTTGCTCCCCTTTTCTCCACAACGTTCAGGGGGTGCTAAGAGACTCCTGCCTCACGCCGCATCACAGTGCTAACGTCTGCTCTCAAGCCAAGACATGGCTCACTAGTGGGTGGTCACTGCAAAAATGCACAGGCTCTCTCCGTATCTCTTAATCTTTCATCTGCGGGGCCCAGCTGGCCACGGGCCAGGGCCAGAGCTGCCAGCTGCACGCCCCAGCTCGGGAAAGCAAAGCCTCCAGCAGCCCTCCCGTCGTAGCCCTTAAGGCGCAGTGCTGGCACGCTGCTCCTGCTGCAAACGCGGCCCTCCCCTCACACCACTGCCACGGCGGTGACGCTGCTGCCGGACTGGCACCTTTTGGGTGAGGGAACGCGAGGCGATTACGTGTCAAGAGCGCTTCAGACGTGTAGTTTTCCCAAACATATGGACATATGGGGAAAAGAACAACTTGTTACTTAACGGCTCTTTTGGATTTTTGCAAGTGCGTATTTTCAACCATCAGTTGTAGCACCTCGTGGATTCTGCACGGTACATATTTTTCCACAATATGGTGCTAAAATCATACATTTTACACTGCAGAGAAGCTGACTATATATACTGTAGTTACACATTATACTTCAAAAAAAGCCATACCTCTAGCAGATATTAAACCTGCAAAGGGCAATTTCCTCGCAGAACAATGGCACCAGAGACAGATGGGAGGCTCTGCAATACTTTTGGGTCCTGTCCTCCAGCTGGGTCAGCCTGCCGCTCCATCTTAGCTCCTCGCCTGTAGGGTGCATCTATATATTATGCTTGCAGCTCATTTTCCTTTTTTCCTGGAAGAAGCTCTGTACTGATCTCACACTGAAACATCATTTAATAACCCGTTGGGTAAGATTAACAGCTCTGAAGGTGTGCGCTCGGTCTGACCACCTCATCCAGCAGAGCTGATGCAGTCAGGGGGAGCCATTAAGGAGAGATTCGGGTTATGGGGAGACAACTATACAGATCCTCCAAAGGCTATAAATAACCCAGAAACTGCTTCAATCCAGATTTTATTTGGCCCTGGCTCCTGAAATACTGTAAATAAGTTCTGCTCACTGCGCTGCAATGCCATGTGAAGGGTTAGTTGAGAGTGATTTATAAAGGCAGTAGCTTATATTCAGAGCTGTTCTTAATTGTGGCCTGGCTTGATAAAGCCACTGTCGCAAATATATAAGTTTCTTTACAGCTGGATCAAATGTATCAGCGGTTGTATTTCAAGCAGGGAAAGGAAAGTATTTTAATTTGTTTTCGCTTCACTTTCCGCGGGCCTTCATAACACCAGCATCTACCCTGCGGCTGCCAAGTCTTGGCTGAGTATCCTGCAGCATCTCAAACTCTTCAGAGAAGGCTGCGTACAGCACGTATGCGACAGGCAGAGTTTCCCTGGGGAATGTGCCTTGTTTATGGAGAGTGCCAAGAGACACGGCCTTACATCCAACCCCTCCCTCCAGAGGTTTTTCCTCCTACATTTCTAGGGAAGAGGGCAGGGAGAAATGGAGCACGAACTGAACATACTTACTTCATGATCAGTTGCACTGCTCTCCCTCCCACCAATGCTTCCTCCTGACTGGATCTGGAGCTCTTCTGCCCCTGCCCCAGGGAGCCCAGCCCCGCAGCTGAATCATGGAGACATGCCCCCTCTCCACCACCCCAAAGCTGCTTCTTCCTGCTGCTTCTAGCCTGGCCAGTGCTAGAGATTGGTGTGAATGCAGCCACTGGAGCCTGCAGGCCAGCAGGGCAGGCACAGATACTCTCAGTGCTCCAGTTCCACCAACCTCTCACTGGCAGTACACAGGCAGCACTGGGCTGACTGGGATGTGTGCTCATCCTTACCAGGGGCTACAGCTGTGGCCCCAGAAAGAGCACTGACTGCCCTGCCCTGTGCCTTGTGGACCTCTTGCTCTGACGAGGCCTTTTCCAGGGGTTTCTAGGAAAGGGATGCGATCCTTCCTGTGATATTTAATGCCTAGAAGTGACCTGTATGATTTAATGTGTTGCATATCAAGGTATCAAAAAGACATCAAAGAAATCCTTGAGCTTAATCCTTGGTCAGGCCAAGATCTCTTCATGATGAGGAAAGGAGCCCAAACTATTTAATAATGCCCCCAAAAGCAGATACTAAGAAATTAAGGGCACTTGGAAGCTCTATATTTCTAGATGTAAGACTACCCTTCAACAAAAGCCTTGAGACAAAGCTCTGAGGGCCCACAGTCCTATTGGGCTAGATGGCACGTGTCTGCGTGGACACGGCTGTGGATTTCTAGCCTCCTGGCTGCACTGCAAGCTTAGGCTGCATGGGGCAGAGAGCTGGCAGGCGCCCCCGACCCCCAGCTCTGCCAGCCCGCTCTTGTCCTATGCACTTTTGCAAATAACTCTTACAGCTCTTTGCTCTTCTTCCTCCATGGGCCCAGGGTATAGAAGATCTCCCTATTGCTTTCATTGTCTCTTTCCTCACCTCTCACTGTGAAAATCTCCTCTCTCACTGGCTCCCGCTGCAGGAACCTGGGTTATTTGGCACTTGGCACTGGCCTGGCACCACCACTGACTCACATGCTGCCAGCAAGCACTTGACTGTCAGCCTGGCCAGAGCAGGTCAGGAGTTAGGCCGCCCTGTCCAATCCAAAGCAGCACCTGGCACAGTAGCTTAATAGATACTGAGTCATGGACTCCATGCCCACAGTCACCTCCACAGCCATGACTCGCAGGCTAGTTCCTTTGAAATCTCAGGAGCAGCACTGACAGCAGCTGAGGATCTGATTTCTGGAGTTTACCTTTAAAAAGTGCACACCATGTGACTACGAAATATTCACAAACACGCACGCACTGCTAGGCATACACCTCTTGGATGGCTGTCTTATCCTCTGAGCCTGCCCACATGTGGTGGATAAAGTTTTTTGCCTTACTCCAAATGCAGCAGGTGCAATAAGATGAGAACCTTGCTAGGCAGATTGTAAAAAAAGGTAAGGATAGAAGATTAATGCTGCCACTATCAAACAAAAAGAGGAAGACAAATGTGAGGTTACAAATCTGGAACTGCAGCATCCTTAGCACACAGTGCTGCTGGTCTGAATGTGACTGGAACATGGCTGCTGACTCTGTGAGGCCCCTGTCAGCTGATCCCACAAGATCCCCGTGAGAAGTCCACACTGCTCGCTGTGTTCTCACTGAGAGGCTCTGCAGCAGAGCTCTGTAGTAAACTGGTGATACTGCTGCTGCTGGACAGACAGCTATGTACTGTATTGGTGTAACCAGATTCGGTAAATAGCCCTGAGGTGTAATAAGTGTTGCGCTTCATTTCCAGCAGCCACTTTCTACTTTTAAAAAGGAATTAAAAAATACTCAACTGTCTGGTACCTCACATACTCAAAATACATCGTACCACTCATGGCTCTAGTTCACCTGTCAGAAAGCACCTATGCTGAGCCCAGCTCAGTACAAACGACTCCAGGTCTTGTGCCAATCTTACAGGCAGAGGCAGCCATGCTTGGGAACAACTCTAAAGGGTCGATGTCCAACAGGATTCTTCCAGGGCTGTGCTGGCAAGTCCAGTGTGTGTCTATACAGCTGCAGTCATGGGGTTCTTCTGCCTGGGATCCTGTTGCCTGTACTGGTACTGGTCTGGACTGGTCCCACGGTGTCGGATAATCTCATTATAAGCTGGTGCACGGTGGGGCTGAGGAGGAGAAGGTGGCACGTCCTGCCGGAAGGGTCCTTTATGCTGGTTTGGGACGGACTGGGCTGGGTAGTACGGGGGGTATCTCAATTCTGCCACTCTTGCGTCTGGTGCATGGATGTAGTTCCCCTTAGATGGGTGGACAACAGGCTGTCCTCCTCCTTGGTAGTAGGGAAGATCTCTCTCTTTGTAGATCACTCGCGGCCCTGTTAAATATTCCAGTGGCTCTGCAGGTCCACGTCTGAAGAGGAAAGCATAAAGCCCATTAAAAGCGTTGCACTAGCTCAGTGACATGTTATTGTACTCACAGTCTGTTTACTTTGGGAAAGGAAATGCCACCTCAAGCATGACAGGTCCAAATGAGTCAAAAGAACTTCTGAAGGATACCAAGCCTCCCACCTGCAAGCTACAAAAGTCTGCAACACCCAGGACACTGGAAGAAGGGTCCAGCACACATCACAGCCCTTTTACAATGGAGGAGCACTGGAGCCCTTCAGTTCCCAAAGTCAGCCTCCTGTGATGCATTTGCCATAATGGAAACAAAGCTCCTTTAAACAATGCATGTTTGACTGAATCTTATCTGGCCTGAGGATAAACAGATGAGTTGGGTCTGCAAGTCTGCAAATCCCATAAGCTTTACATGCACAAATATTCATGGTTTCCAAGCCATTTCCCACTATTTTTTCTCCTAACATGTCAGACCATAAAGCTTTCCAAACACCATAGTTGGAAAAACTGGAACTCCTGGAAGAAGCACTAGGGATGTCAGGTTATAATACCTGTGTTTAATGGGCGAGCTGCCAGTGAGGTTTAAAAAAAACACTCTTGTGATCTGGAAGGCCTGATATTACAACAGCTCTGTAACCTGTCTGTAACTTGTCTGCATCAGTATGGATCTGACAAGCTCCAGTTCACGTGGAAAGCAACATGTGAACATGACATCCCTGAGGATGTGCCACGGAGCCCTCTCTGTAGCTTTTTGCATCTTAATTCCATGATTTGCACTAATGAAGGACTAATATCTTTTCCTAGTACAGCTTAACTTGTGATACTTTTGAAATGGCAAAAATAATTGTTCTCACAGACATGTCAACCAGGGAACCCACAAAAGTTCAGCTCAATTAGGAGGTTTTGCCAGTCTGATTGCAAATGCCTTTGCACTTTGGCAAAACCTCCCACTGACTGTACAGGCAGCCCCTCTGCAAGTGTGAGCTGAAGGAAGATGGCAGGGTTTTGACCCAAAACAGGGGCCGAAAGTATAAATCAATTACACCTGCTCTGTGGGTTTGGGACTAAACTCATGAACTGTTTAAACAGTCTTTCCATAGATTTATTTAAAAAGTCATCATCTTGGTACAGCAGATCAGGTGCTCACAATTCATCAATGCCTCTCTTTTGTTCACACACAGATTTTACAAGCTTGCCTCCCCTACTTAATCTGGGCTTCCAGACTCCACTGGAACTTGTTTTGCATGAAGTAAAACAAAACATGTGGTTTTCTGCTGCACTCGTTTAAGCCCATGGGGTAAATCATGGACACAGGCAATGAACAAACATTATCTGCCTTGAAATGAACCTACAATTCTCTCCGTGGAATAACTTAGTGCAAATGTTTCCTGTTTAAAATGGAAAGAGCAAAAGGAAGAATTCCAGGCCTTGGACTTTTAGGACCCCATGCTCCCCAGAGACTTTTTGCTTTAAAAACAGAATGTTATAAAAGACAGGCACTCCTGACTTTTTTTTCCTCTCTCTCTTTGTGAGACAGTCCAGACAAAGTGCTGAAGGGCCTGAAGCCACCCTCTGAGATACTAAAAGAACTCTTAGCCGCATGTGTTGAGACAACTGCTATCTCTGCTCACACACCTACGCCTTGCAACAAGCCTAATTTCTACAGCAGCCCAAAGATTTGCTCCACGTGTTTCCATATGAAGGCTTGTTTGCTAGTCAGTGCCATCCCACTCAGCTGTTAATTCTTCTGTACATAAAAATGCGCTTCCAATCACAAAAGGCTTCTGCGATGTTCAGAACTGCTTTGTGTCAAGCAGCAAACCAAGAGGAACAAACGTCAAACCTACAGCCATCACCTTTTAATTAAGGGTAATGCTCAAGATCCTGTTTATTAGATCTGAAAAGATGTTCTCATCAGCAGCTGTAATCAACCAAGCTCTTGTGGATCACATTAAGAAGGGACTGAACCTGGAACTTGACCTAGAATTCACCAAGGAGCCAGGCAGCTTTTGGACTTAGATCTAACTACTACATTGAATTACTCAAAAATAACAAAATCAAGATTAGTTAGTACCAAAATGACTGCGGAAAACAGGACTGAGCCACAGCATCTTCTAAGCCTCCAGCACAAGTCATCCCTCAGCTCGCAGGGCAGGCCTGGATGTGGCAGCAGAGTGAGATGTGCTTTGCAATCCAGCAAGCTGCTCAGCTCCCAGCAGGGCCACTGCCAGGAAGGCTCAGGCAGGCCAGTTCTGGAAGAAAGTGCCCAGGGTAGCACATGCAGGCAGCTTCGACCTGGGATTGTGCAGCGAAGATGTACCAGGGTACAAGTGTGCCAGAGACATGAAGCATATATCCAGCAGCTTGAGCTCATGCCATTGGGTTTTCTGTGCTATGCTATAAAACAAAATCCACCATTTGTACACTTACACCACCCTTTGTTGTGTAGGTAGACTGCAGAGGACCGTGTATGAAAGACATAATCTTTCTTGAAAATACAGAAATATGTAAACTGTTTTCTTTCAGACTATCTCTCTCCTCTCAAACACCCAGATCTGCTGTAATTTTGGAGTGTATTCCTCAGAATTTGGGATAGCACCTGGAGGAGGGGTTGTGCTAAGAGACAAGGCTCAAATCCAGTTGGCATGGAAAGCCCTAGAACGTGGCATGCAAGTTGTTTTTTGTTTTGTTTTGTTTTGTTTTGATAGCCTTGACAATAACATTACCAGTGATCTAACCAATGATTACTGGAACTATCTTGTGAGCAAAAGCTCAGGCAACTCTGGTAACTCTGCCCCCAAGCCAGCTCCTGAACAGCATGACCAGGGGAAATTCATGAAGGATATCCTCATGACTGTCCCACCCTCTGCAGCTCATTTCCCCAGTGACTCAAGTGGGTGTTGGGCATGCAAGGGCATGTGCTACCGAAGATGGTGTTTTGCTTTTCTTCCTCTTTATGACCAGCACAGCATGTTGAAACGGATTTATTTCCTAAGGATCCATTCTTCCCCACCTATCAGCTGTGCTTGCTGCAGTCTGCTTTTAGGGAGCTGCTCACAGCACAAACCACCAGCTTCAGGAGTCTCTGCCGTGAACTTCCACCTGACATGTCTTCAGATACAGGAAAGAACAGCCCTTCCCTTCCCAAGTGTTTCAAATTAGCCATCAGTCTTCTTGAGGAAGAAGAAACACGTACAGATGCCAAAGCCTAGCTATAGCAATGCTGTCACCATTAGGAGCAAGTCTGGAAGGCTGGGAGCAGTTCTAAGCAGAACAAGCAGGGCCCCCTGAACCAACGCCATTTTTGCTTGATAGCTCATGGTGTAAAGGTATATGCTGTTGTTTGCCTTTAAAGTAATCGCCGTAACAACCAAGCAAAACACTTTCTTCTTGGCAGCCCCTTGTAGATGCTATGCTTGTTTCCTCAAGAGCCAAAACAACCCCCGCCTTTCCTTTCGGCAGACACTGCCACCTCCGAAGAGGCCTTAATGAAATTCCTCTTCCCTTTGCTGCTGTTTTTGTAGGCTCCTGATGAGTTCAGAGTTCACAGGGCTGCATCACACCTCCCAACTGACCCACGGTTTGGGGGTCAAACCAATAACCTCAAGTGGAAAATCAGTGACCCATGGGAGTGATCAAAAATCCACAAATTGGGTCAAGCAGGTCCAGCCACTCAAAAGGACCAGGCCTGGAGTGTGCCCTCTGACAGGGCATGCTGAGTAGGAGCTGCTCTGACCCTCAGCTGTTTTCCAGATTTTTGGCCAGTTGCTTGACCTGTGGATCCAGTGAAATTAATGGCAGGCAGAAGGCAGGGAAGCTGACACAACAAGCTGGGAAGGAGCTGATCTCAAAGCTCTAAAAGTGTTTTTGCTGATAGTTCAGTTCTGCTGCCCTTCAATGGAAGATGCTTCAACTGTGTGAGTCTAAAAGCAGAGGCTAGGCAGAGGAAGCAGAGGAAGGCAGGCAGGCAGAAGCACCAACTTCAAGAAAGGAGCAAAACTAGGGGGAAATACCTTCCCTATGTCATTGGCAAGGTGCCCTTTACTATGTTTGTCACAAGGAAATCATACCTCGTGAAGTAAAAGCACAGATCACACAAACTGCAGATAGCAGCAAATATGTTTGGCCATATCATTTCAGGTGCTGGTTTGCAGCCCTATTGGTTTATCTTCCACATACTTGACCAGGTAAGAGCTGTGATCCATTTCGAGAGTTAAGAGCACAAAGCAGCTTTGTCAAGTAACTCAGGTAACCTGTGATGATGTTCAATTAACAGTACCTGTTGTTATTTCCTCTATGACAATTAACGTCTGAAATTGCTTTTCTTTCTCCACTTTATTTACCTTCCAAGCACAAAGCATGTAAGATCTAATATATTCTGGCTTTGCTGCAGAATTTTTGAGAGCCTCTGGGATTATTTAAAACAGAATGAAAGGACTCAGAATACATAGGAGGGGCTTCTTTTACTCAAAATGTTATTTAGTCATTGAAGTCAAATGGGTATCTGTAAGTTTCAAAAAAACAACTAAAACAGCTTTTGCTTTCTGCAGCTCCATTTTTTTGAAGAACCCATTTCAGTAATACTTCAGCTGCCAAGAGTCTCACAGGGTAGACTGGCCTAAATACCTAATGTTTAAAAAAAAAAAAAAGCACATTTCATTTCAAGTTTACCATGTTTCAATGTTGACCCCCATTTGCAGGTCACCTTTAACATAAGCCACAAAGACACATGCTTGGGTTATCTCAAAGCAAAGGAAAGCAAAAAGACAATCTGGCTGTTCATGCTGTGCCCCATCATGTCGGGGGTTTGGATTTCATCATGACAAAAGAGTTTTTCTTGCCTCTGTTCTATAGGGAGAATCACAGAGGTCACACTCTTAGTACCTGGTAAAAAGCAAGGAAGGGAATGCTCCCTTCTTACATCACTGCCTCCGTCTAGCTGCTGAACGAATATTTTGCAAGGGATATAATCTCACATGAAAAACTGCTTTCTTACTTTGTCAGGGAGTACTT